CCTCTCTCTCTCTCTCTCTCTATTTGTAGATCTCTGTTTTTTCCTGTCCTACAGTATGTAATACGTAAACCACTTACTTACCGCGAAGGGCATGGAATACGTTTAGTTACTGGCATCCTCCTTTGAGTAAAATTAACAGATTACTACTTCCACTGTACTTCAAAAGATACTCATAAAGACATACAGTCTTAAGTATCTTTGCGAAGTTGAGCAAACATGAGCAAGTGCAACATGGGATGCTGTGTGAATTGGTAATTATAATCTGCAATAAGAAATATTTAGTGTAATGATAATTGCTTTATTGTTATATATTTTAACATTCTCCTAGTTTTAGTAAAAGTTTCAATTAATCTAATTATTCTCTTGATTGAGGAAAAAATAAATAATTCATTTCATTGATAAATAAGTAAATAAGGATTTGTTATCTTGTTATCTAATATATTATATCAAATTTTTTTGTTTTATTAATTATATATAAATAAAATATTATATTTGTTAAAACTTGACTATCTATTTCCATATACAATAAATAAATGTTTTGTAAAAATACTTGGTTTTATTTAAAAAAAATATAATAAAATTTATTTATTATATTTCAATATTTATTTATTTAAATTAAAGTAACAGATTACAAACAAAATATAAAATATATCATTATTTATTATATTAATTATATTAATATATCTATCCTTGATCTAATTGTATATTTATCTTATCTATGTATTCATTTTTATCAAAACATTGCACCCATCAATTGCATTAATATGAATAAGAAACATATATTACATTAAAGATTTCTAATAAATTAGAAAATTGATACTTGCATACTTGCATTTCTAAATGACATTTATTTAAATGATACATGCTTCTCATTTAAATAAGTTGAACATTTTATTTTAATAATAATATTTTTTATAATACTAAATCTTAAATCTAAATATTTCTAATTTATTTTATATCACTCTATGCACCATAAAATAAATAGACATTCAATAATATATTTACATTTTTTCCCTTACTTTAAATATTAAATTTAATAGTATTTTTTCAATTTAATAATATTAAAATTTTTACATAAATAATAAAACATAATATTTATAATTAATAACATTTTTCTTTTATACCACATACAATTGTGTACTTTTTTGGAGAAAATAATAAGACACTTTGTATAAAACAAAAATATTTATTTCATTTCATTATATGTCAAGTAAAATGTTTTGAACAAAATATATCAATCAATTTATTCATTTTTTTTTATTTTCATAATATAAATATTTTATGTGCATATAAATTAACAATAAATAAAGATTTCGAGAAATTTTACATCATGTTTAATCTATAAAAAATATTAAGAATAAACATTAAACTCTGTTGATAAAATTTATTTTTTGAAAAAATATTATTTAGATAGCATTATATATATTACAAAAATAATAGCATAGAAATATTTATTTCATAAATAAATAAATGAAAAAGCTCTGAAATTAATAGATTTAAAAAAAAAAGGAAATGTCGAACAAGCACAATAATTATAAAGGAATCACAATGTACAAACAACATTAATTAACCTAAGCATCCAGAAACGATGGTCTATTTACCGTATCACCATGCTGAGCTCTGCGTTCAAAAACGGTATCGCTGCACGTTCGAGACACGCAACAACAGTCAGTTGATCATATGCACAAAAACTAACGAAGTATAAAAATCATTTGTCCACTGTTAAGTATGCCTTAATTTAATTTTCCATTTCTAAATTACACTGTTACTATGTTCATGATATTCCAATAGTATCGCGCTGATCCTTTTATTCATGATTACGGCACACACGAGAAATTACAATGAATCTTATTAAGATGAAATCACTTTAATAAAAAATATTTGTATCAATAATATTTCACAATAAACAAGACACCGATATTTCTTTTCCGATAATCGCTAGACACACCGATTATTTGTAAGTACCTCGCATAAACTATACTCATCGACAATCACGACCGAAGAATATACGAGTAGAAGCTGACATAGGCACCAATGTAAGAAAAAAGTCCCTTGTTTTTTAACACAATCTAATGTCTACATAGTAGAATTAATGCAGCGCCAATTTCAAATGAATCAACAATTCTTTATTATTCATATATATATTTAATAATTTTTAATAATTTTTTTTATTTATGTTTTTGATATTCTAGCAATCTTTTGTGTAGAAATTATGGAAAAAAAAATCAAAATCATATCATTCCATATTCTTTATTAAAAAATGATTTATTCTATATAAAAAATAATTTAATATGATTTGTTATTTGTACTATTATTTCCTAGACACAAATAAAAAATTTTTTGTAAAACTTATAAAATTAATATACTACATTATATTTGATTATTGAATATAATGTAATAATTTCTTTTATAATTTAAATTCGAAATAATAAAACGAAATAACTAATTATCTAATAACATGTAAATAAATTGTTATTACAACTAATAATATTGAAATGTATTATGCTATTAAAATTATAAGTATATATATATTGTTTTTATATAATTTATTTAGAGTTCAATAAATTTAATTATTTTTATTACCATGATAATAGCATTCTTTATCTTAAACTGTCAAAAAATAATTTTCTTATATCATTATAAAAAATTACACAAATATTATATATATAATTAAAAAAATTAATTTTTTTCAATTAAATGAATGAATATACTTACATTTTATATTCTGCCTGTAAAACGAATAGATACGAATACCATTATTCGATGTATGGTTCCGCTTAAATTAGGAATAATAAGTCAAATGAATATTATAATTATAAAAAAAAGATAATTATTAGAAATAAAAAATATAAAACAAGGATAGAAATAATTACTCTTTTTTATTATATTTAAGCTGGAACACATATAATTTTTTTTTACAAGTTCTTATTCTTGCTCACTGTAAAATCTTGTCAATTTATTGTATTGAAAATATATAATATTGAAAATACATTAATTTCATTTTTTTTTTATTAATTATATCCTGAATATTGTTTAACATAAATTTCTCGTTTCTTTTCAGATCATACAGGCTGTCATATTTTATTGTTCTATCGTAGATATTTTAAAAAGTAAATATATTTTATAATCGAATATAATTATTAATAATCAATTATAATATTAAATAATTATTGCTGTTATAATTGAATAATTTCTAATAATTTTATTCTTCAGATATCTTTTAAAATATTTTTCTATAACAGAGAGTGCATTTAAAAATATGTATTATAAATATGTATTTATATATATTAAGGAAAATTATTATTTGATTCGTATTTACATAAATTATTAATAAAAATAACTCATCTATCCATAGATAATAAATTATTTTTTATCGTTATGAGTATTTAAATAAATTATATTTAAATATATAATTTAAATGTATTACGTATAAATTTAACATTTTGTAATACTGACGTCGTTTGAAATTCTTTCTATCATTATATATGGATAAAATAAAATATCTTAAATAATCATGACTATATAATTTTTTTCAAATGAAAAATACATTTTAATTTATTCTATTGTTATTATGATTATAAATTTAATTATAATGATTATCTTCAATAGAATGATTAAATTTCCTGTAAATAAGATCATGTTATATATTTACATATTATTTAGATTAAAATTCTTTATATATTTGTCTAATTTAATTTATAAAAATATTATATTATTCAATTGAATTTCTCTTGCATTATCACAAACAGTATAAAAATCAGTTAGCTAAGATTTATGATGATTTGGCATGGAATATATTGATTTTCTCAATTAAGTTGCAATACAATCATTCTTAATGTTTTATCGTGTATTATTATTAATCTTTTTTTAAAATGTGAATTTCATACTATTGTTTTTTTTTTACAATATCATTCGAACAAAATAGTCATCATTATAAGCTTCTATTTTAGCATTAATCTTATTATTATTAAGAAATAAACTTTTTTTTTTCTTTTCTTTTCCTTTTACCTCGGCTATCAAGAGAGTGAAGCAGAAAATCAAAATGATGTTTTGACTCAACAGTTTTGGCAGAGTCTTCTGAAATGGCCATATTCCAATGATGGACAAAAGACGTTTGTTCAATAGATAGGCGGGCTGTTCGAAGAAATCCATGTCGACTGTCGTCGCACTTCTTTCATTGCTTTGACTCATAATCTCTAAGAGAAGTGAAGACTCAATCAATAAGAACTGCACAAAGAAAATCGACAAAGATTCGCTCGTTAAATCATTAATGGATTAATTAATTATTTAAACAGTCCATCGTTTTATAACTCATTAAATGCGATAGACGAGATTTTCGCGTCTTTTTAGAAAGACTTCCCTCAGTTTTTTTTTATTCTTTTAAGAAATCATATTCGTAAAATGATAGTTAATTAAAGACGATTATCTTTTCTTTTCTTTCTTTCTTTCTTTTTTTTTTTTTCATTCTATAGAAAACGTTTTACTTAATAAGTGATAATAACGATCGATTGTTATTAAACGATACGTTGTAAGTAAATTTTACAGAAAAATTTTCTCTATAATAGAATGATTTTCATTTTAGAATGAGATAATTCTTTCGAATGAAAGACACTTATATGATTTCGATAGACAAAGCTAAGAATATAACATACGAATTGCTAGTTTTGCTAGTTTTTGTGCGAGACTTTCTTCATTTGAAATACATAGCATTTTTTTATTTAATCATATAAACATATTTTTTTTTTTGCAATGATTGACCACAGCAATATATGTTGTTATGTCAATAAAACTATAATATTTATTATATATATATATTTTTTTATTAGTCTTAACCATGGAAAAATCTGATTCAGAAATTAATATATTTCAAATTTTAATATTCTTAAAATCAAAGATTTCATATATATATATATATATATATATATGGAAAAGTTAATCATTTGGCATGGAATATAGTTTTATTATATCAGATTCTTAAACTTTATTTATTTATTATTTTTTGTAATTTTATATTTTATAATTGTTTTTCTTTTTCTTCAGCTTAGAGGATTATATAGTGTGTGGGGAGTCAATTACGATGCAGTCATTGAATGCATGCCACCAATCATATCAATTTTTCAAAGTGCATCGATGTATTTCAACGGAATTTTTAATAAAAAAAAGGTATAAATATTTATTCTATCTTATTCAATTTTCTGATAATTTTTGAAAAAGTCAAAATTTGCAAATCAAAAAATCGAACTTACAAAAAGAATAATTTCAGAATAAATTTTTTTCATTTTTATAAAACTATATTTTTTATTTTTTTTTTTATTGCAGATTAAAGATATATTATTATTCATTAAAAATGATCATAAATATTATATAAATCGTCCAGAAAATATAATTCTTCAAAAATATGATATGCAAGGAAAAAAAGTTACATTTTATTATATTTGTAAGTGTATTAGATCTCAAAATGAAAAAAATTCTCATTTCATAGATTTTTAAGATTGAAGAATTTTTATCTCTATTTTAGTATACGTTTACATAACATTGTTAGTTTACTTATTGTTACCAACAATACCACTGATAATTGATTTCATTACATCCTCCAATTATTCTCAAAAAAGGAACTTTCTATTTGAACTTGATTATGGTATAGACAAACAACAATATTTTTATTATATATCTATACATTCGTATATTGGAACAGCTGTGGTCGCAAATTTAATTGCTTCTTGTGATACTATGTATATGCTGTATGCTCAACATGCTTATGCTTTATTTGCAATTGTAAGGTAAAGCTTATGTTTTATTAACCCAAACATTTTGCGATATTTTATTTCAAAAAAATTTTTTCCTAGTTATGAATTGAAAACTATACATATTTTGAATACAAATAATTTGATAAATGTGACAGATCATCATTTACTCAAAAAATATAAAAATATCAAATTATTTCCAAGAGATGAAAAGAAAGTTTACAGAAAATTGTTTATTTGTATAAAAAATCATCAAAATGCAATAAAGTCAGTATTTGTTTTATGACATTACTACTCTTTTTTTTACAAACAATATAATACAAAGCATTAATATATTTCGTTTTTTATAGATATTCAAATCTTCTAGAATCATTATTTACTAAATCCATACTTGTACAATTATTCTTTAATGTTCTTTGTCTTAGCATTACAGGAGTTGAAGTAAGTATTTATATGATTAATTAAACAACTTATTTTTGACTTAAGTATATAAATAGTTTTTTACTTTTAGACTGTAATAAAATTAGGTAATTTAAGTGAAATGATGAGATTTGGATCGTTTACGTTTGCACAAGCTGTTCACATATTTTTTCTTTGTCTTCCTGGACAAAGATTATTGAATCATAGTGAAGAAATGCATATCTCAGTGTAAGAATATCTATATTTCATTGATTTTCTTTTATTTTTGCATTTCAATGAATTAATTATAGATTAATTAATTTAGGTGCAAAGTAACCTGGTATATTTTTCCTAAAGAATATCAGAATTTATACAAATTTTTACTTGCAAGATCTTTGATATTTAGTAAATTGACAGCTTTTAAAATGACAACTTTGTCTATGCAAACATTTTTAGCAGTAAGAATCTTTTATTGTAATTTATCTGAAATAATGATAAAAATTAGTAGAAAATATTTTATTATTACTTATTATTTTAGATTATTCAAACTGCAATGAGTTATTTTACTGTGTTGTTATCAACTACATGAATTTAAATGAATCATTAATGTGTATCTTAGTTATTATATTATATATTATTATTATATTATATATTCAATAGAAACTATCAATACAATTGTTCTTTAAACTTTTATTTACATTACATACTGTTATGTATGATATTCACTGTTTGTAACATTTTGTTGAAAAAAAATATACTTAAATGTGTATAAATATATTTACATCAACACGTACTAAATCGTAATACAAAATTTTTAACGTAATGTTACGTCATATTACGTCTTAAAATACATTCCAATATAAACTTTTTTTTTCTTTTAATTGTAATTTGTAAGTTATGAAAAATTATGAAAAATCTGTGCAACAATGATCATGTAAAATATTCAAAACTAGAAAATCAGATTCAAAAATTTAATTAATTAAAGTATATTTTATATAATAAAATGATTACCATAGAAAATGATGTTCATGCTCGTAAAGAAACGAATTGGTGGAAAACATCTAAGATATGAGGATCCAGATCTGGTGTAAAAAGTAAAGTCTCTAATGTTGATGAATATTTTTGAACTTGTTCATGATGCTATAAATAAAAAAAGATAAATAATAGTTAACATTAAATGCAAAAAAATATATCTTATTTATATTATTTATTTCATTAGAGAACTTACAGTTAAAAACACTTGCTGTAATCTACCTATGGTCCATTTATACCAATGAGTATTGTAGTCTATTCCGTCAGTATCACATCGTCCAAGATGTTCCGAAAGAATCATTATAAAACGCTGAACAAATGGATAGTTAATTTAATGTTTTTATCATTATTATATAATAATAATAATAATATAATTATTTATACTTGAAAAATGATAAGGAACAAATTTTTCTGATCTGCTTGAGCTGTTTCCAACTTTTCTTCCATTCTTTCTACTACATCTTCTGATGGTTTTTCCCTATTTCTATCTTTGTTATTGTCTTCATCCTCTGATGATGAACCTGATCTACTTTCTGCTCTTCTTAACTTCTCACGAGCTTCCGCTAATTCTGTACTTAATTTTGTTACATGTTTATTCTTTTTTCGAATTGTTAAGTGAAGAATTTCCCAAATATATAATCTTGAAAAAAAGAATAATAAATTTATTAAATATATATATATTTATTAAATCAGTATTGTAATAAAACCATATATACTTAGTAAATTCTGACACCATCTCTTTAGAAAATATCCAATTGGCAATGGCACTGCATTCAATTATTCCAGTTTTCAAAAATTTATCAGTTAAAACCACCATCATTTGATAATGATTCTTCCATAATGCATACATATTTCTCAAAATACATATTTGAGCTTCTTCAGTTTCTGCAAGAACCTAAACATATAAATTTATTACATATAGTAATTAATTCAGTTGGATTATAAATAATTCCGTTTAAAATCTTACTTGAAAAACATAATGAAATTTTCCTATCGCAGCGAAACTATGGCTAAAACTTTTTGAACCTAAATTCAATAATGTCTGTACAAAAACATCGATCTTTAAAGGATTGAAGTTATTTGTCTCTTCATTTTCTCTAGGACCTGGTAATGTATTTAACACATTAAGTACTTCTTCTGGTGTACATTTACGTCTAATTGAAACAACTAATTCATGAGCTGCTGCTGTACCTGGAAGTGAACCTAAAAAACAATTTTTTTTAAATAAATTTTATTTAATATTCTAAATAATATATAAAAAAAAAAAATTGAACTTACTGGCACCTTCAGAAGTATATTTATAAATAGGTTCTGGAGGTGCAGGTATTAGTTCAGCATATGATTCAGGCATCATATCCCGTATTCTTTGGTAATATGATAATCTTAAATAAATAGAAATTATAAATTATAAATTTAATTATCATTAATCTGTTATAAATCTAATTATCATTACAAATAATTAAATATATGTACCGTAAAGCTTTTAATAATACTTCTCGAATAAATTTCGGTCGTGGATGTTCTGGATCACGTTGTAAACAAGAATCCCAATCTTCCCAAGACCAACGAAACTGAAAATTGCTTAGATGATATGCAAACCACCATACAAAACGATCGAAAGCAGTTGCAGCCATACTATCTATACGACGGAATAGAATTTCTGTCGCTTGAGCCAGAACCTATATTAATATAGATAAATAAACTAATAAATATTTTTATTATATTAAAATTTTGAATTATATCCTTACCTGTGGCATTGTTGATGGTTGTAATTTACAAAGTTCAATCAAAATTGATCCATAACATATTTCTAAATGCTTTGGTGCTGGTAATCTAAATAGTTCACCAAATATTACTTCAACAATGCAATAATCTAATGGTATTTTTGCTTTATATGGAAAATTCAATAATTGAGCTGCACTGTAAATTATTATATATGAATTTTTAATTATATAATTGAAATACTACAATAAATAAAAAATAAAATATATACCAATCTTTTCTTTCAAAAAAATAGTTATTAATAATTTGTCTTAAATGTTCTTCTATAAGAAAACGTTCTATAGCATGACTTCCAGGTAATAATGGTCCTTCAGCTGGACAATCTGTATAATCAAACATGCGAAACACTACTGTAGGTAATGGATAAGAATAAGATTCATGATGTGGTGGTGGCATTATTGTAGGTAAATTATGCTGTAATGCTTCACACAAAATTGAATCAAATGCAAGATATGGTCTAGGAATATGTTTCTCTGCCCAATTGTCCTGTCTAAGTTTTCTCACTTGAGCCCATAAACAATCTAAATATTCTTCTTGAGGATGAGGTGTATCACTTGACCAAACTCTTAAGGCTGGCTGATGTTTTTTATTCTTTTGTTTAAAAATATCTCTATTGTCACCATTAAATGATCTAATTCTTGTTCTTTTTTTTCTATATAATTCTCTTCCTACCCAAGGTAATGTTGATAATACAGCATAGACATACCTAATATAAATGATAATAAAAAAATATTTTTTTTATTTATTGAAATCATTCATAAAATCATATAAAATAATTTTATTTACATACCAATCACGTCTTACTTGAGGAACACCATCTTCATTAGCAGCATCTAACATATTATCAAAGAGTTGCATTAAAGATCCACAAGATAAGACATGGCAATTTACTAAATCAGCTAAAAATCTTAATGAATATCTAGCTACATCCCATTTACAAGCTTTCAATGCATCTTAAAATTTTTCACCATATAATCAACAAATTCACCACCAAAATTAAAATTCTTTGCATTCAGTAATCCAACAAGTGTGGTATAAATTGTACATTTTTCTGGCATTCTAATTGCACATTCTGTTAGAATTCTAAGAATTTTGCTACGAAAGAGTCCAAGATCAGCTTCTAACACTGAAGCTAAACCTTCTAAGTTACTTTCTAAAGAAGATGTAGATTTTTCTCCCACTCTCAGAATAAGAGATTCAAGTCGGTCTTCAATTTCTTGATTCTCTGATACTCTCCTACGTTTTTTATACGCTCGTTCTAAAAATTTGTATAGAAATGATATAATTCTTATAATAAAAAAAGAAAATTTTTTCAATAATTATAATTTTTAATTTTTAAATTAATATAAAAAAATGAAATTTACCATATCCATCTTCTTCTTCATGAACTCTTCTGCGACTCATTTTTAAAAAATTTAATATATCGTATTAATCAGTCGCAACGTTTACAACCTAATATATTTTAACACAATTTGTCACGTCCACAAACGTATAACTCCACCAATAGTTTAGCCCGCCACCGATAGATGTCTTTAATTTTCTCACAAGTTTATAAATTTTAGAAATTAAATTTTATCCCATGTTTACAATAAAAATATCAAAATTATATTTACATATTTATCACTAGCCTTTTTGTTAATTTTTTTGTCTTATATTTTCTACATTTTCTATCTTTTTTTCACAATAAATATAAATTCATTAAAAAAAAAAATCATTTATACTTCTATCATTGATAAATCTATTTAATGGTTTCGAGACGAAACGCTGCCTTTTTTCGCGCTATTCTATCTTTTTTCAATTACACCAAAAGATTCAATTGTTTTTTTAAATTAACACGATTACATTTCTATATATAAATTATCACAAAAATCATTTAATTGTAAAATGCATCAATAAGTAACTTAACCTTATAATTTTTTATAACCTATATATAATATAATTGTATATAATTATGAAGCAAAGCATCACAACTTATTTATCAGTAATATATAAAAGCAATTTTTAGCATTACTTAAAATGTACACTTAACAAAATAATATAGATTGTTACAATTTTTACATATTCGTAACGCTATGGTAAAAGCAAAATATCCACCTAGTGAACAAAATTGGAACCTCAAACTAGGAAATGCAGAAATTAACGTTATATATGAATCTACTATATCTCTGATTCATGAGAAATAGCGGTGACTCGCAAATAAGTTTTACATTTATTCTAACCTAGATTGTAAGTAGATCGAAGGTAGAATTGAATTTTGTATTTTGCATTCATTTTATGCAATAATTCAAAACAAAATGCCTGAAAGCGTGAAAGTAGAATCAAAAACGAATAAGGAAATCAGAAGTGGAAAAGAAGAAGATAAAAATGAACTGGTAAGTCCTATTTTGATTGAAAAATTATGTCAAAATATATAATTTTATAAAAGTACATAAAAATATAAAATAAAAGATTGTATTTATTTGTGTTATGAATGTAAATAACATAAAATATTAATAAATAAAAAATAATATTAAAAAAATTTATATAGACTTTAACATTATTTAATTTACGTATTTTTTTAGTCTGAAGAAGATAAACTCTTGCAAGAGGAATTAACTAACCTCGTTGAACGGTTACAAGACCCTAATACAAGTTTACATTATTTAGCTTTAGAATCTTTACGTAATCATATTCGTGCATCCACAACATCAATGACCAGTGTTCCAAAACCTCTTAAATTTATGAGACCTCATTATGATACTATGAAATCCATCTATGAAAAGATAACAGATGCAAAGTCCAAGGAATTATGTTCTGATGTTATTTCTGTTCTTGCTATGACAATGGGTGAAGGTAGAGAATGTCTTAAATATAGACTTACTGGATCTGCTTTAGCTATTGGAGAATGGGGACATGAATATGTTAGACATTTATCAGGAGAGTTAGCTGGTGAATGGGATGAATTAACAGATGATGCAGAAGCTATTAGTAAGAACTAATAGCTCTGGTACATGAAATTGTACCTTATAATATGGCACATAATGCAGAAACTGAAGCCTGTGATTTATTGATGGAAATTGAAAGATTAGATTTATTGGAACAATATGTAGATGAAAGTGCATATCAAAGAGTTTGTTTATATTTAACAAGTTGTGTACCATATGTGGCAGATCCAGAAAATAGTACTCTACTTCATGCTGCTGCAAAATTATACAGAAAGTTTGGTCAGTATCCTCAGGCTGTAAGATTGGCAATGCAATTGAATGATTTGCCACTTATTGAAGATATATTTACAAACTGTACTGATTTGTAAGTTAAATTATTGAAATTAATTTTATCTATCAAAATTTAAATTAATATATAATATCTCATTTTTTAGGTCAATACAGAAACAATTAGCATTTATGTTGGGTAGACAGCAAATTTTTTTGGAACTTCCAGAATCTACTCCAGAATATGATGATTTAGTAGAAATCATGTCCAATTCATTATTAAATTATCATTTCCTCAATCTCGCTCGTGAATTGGATATAATGGAACCAAAAACACCAGAAGATGTATACAAATCACATTTAGAAAATTCTAGATCTCCATTTGGTGGTGGTCAAGTAGATTCAGCAAGACAAAATCTTGCTGCAAGTTTTGTTAATGGTTTTGTGAATGCAGCTTTTGGGCAAGACAAACTATTAGTTGAAGATGGAAACAAATGGTTGTACAAAAACAAAGAACATGGAATGCTGAGTGCAACAGCATCTCTTGGTCTCGTTTTATTATGGGATGTCGATGGAGGCTTAACACCAATAGACAAATATCTTTATTCTTCTGAAGATTATATTAAATCTGGCGCTTTATTAGCTTGTGGTCTTGTTAATTGTCGCGTGAGGATTGAATGTGATCCTGCATTAGCTCTTTTATCTGATTATGTGTTACACAGTAGTAATACAATGCGTATTGGTGCAATTGTTGGTCTTGGATTAGCATATGCAGGATCAAATCGAGAAGCTGTTTATGGTCTTTTAATTCCTGTACTTAGTGATCCTAAATCTAGTTGGGAAGTCATTGGTGTAGCAGGCCTTGCTTTAGGAATGGTTGCAGTAGGTTCTTGCAATGCTTATGTCACAACAACAATAATGCATGCCCTCATGGAGAAGTCGGAAGCAGATCTTAAAGATACCTACGCTCGATTTCTACCTTTAGGTCTTGGATTATGTTTCTTAGGCAAACAAGAAGCTGCAGAGGCTATAATAGCAGCCTTAGAAATAGTACCTGAACCTTTTAAATCAATGTCCACAACTTTAGTAGAAGTATGTGCATATGCTGGTACTGGTAATGTCTTGAAAATTCAACATCTTTTACATATTTGTTCTGAACATTATGAACCATCAAATGAAAAAGAAGACAAAAGCGATCGTAAGGATAAAGATAAGAAAGAAGAAAAAAAAGAAGATAAAACAAAGGATCTGAGTTCAAGACAGGCAATTGCTGTTCTTGGTATTGCTTTGATTGCAATGGGAGAAGAAATTGGTGCTGAAATGGCATATAGAACATTTGGTCATTTATTACGTTATTGTGAACCTGTTATTAGACGATCTGTTCCTCTTGCACTTGGACTTATATCAGTTTCCAATCCGAAACTGAATATACTTGATACATTGTCCAAATTTTCTCATGATAGTGATCCAGAAGTAGCACATAATGCTATCTTTGCAATGGGTTTAGTTGGAGCTGGAACAAATAATGCAAGATTGGCAGCAATGTTAAGACAACTTGCTCAGTTTCACGCAAAAGATCCGAATAATTTGTTCATGGTTCGTATTGCACAAGGTTTGACGCATCTTGGTAAAGGAACTTTGACTTTATCTCCATATCATAGTGATAGACAAGTATTAAGTCCTGTAGCTCTTGCTGGACTTTTAGCTACATTAATTGGTTTTCTCGATGTAAAAAACAGTAAGTATTTGAACTTTCTTTAAATATTATGATTATTTAAGATATATTAAATAAATATGATTTTTGTTTTCAGTCATTTTAGGTCGATCTCATTATTTGTTATACACATTAGCAGTTGCAATGCAACCAAGAATGTTAGTAACATTTGATGAAAAGTTAAATCCTCTAGCTGTACCAGTAAGGGTTGGTCTTGCTGTAGATGTCGTAGGTCAAGCGGGAAAACCTAAAACTATTACTGGTTTTCAGACACATACAACTCCTGTTTTATTAGCATATGGTGAAAGAGCAGAACTTGCAACTGAAGAATATATTCCTTTAACACCAATCATGGAAGGTTTTGTAATTTTAAGGAAAAATCCGGATTTTATACCTTAATTATAAAATAATTAAGTGAAAAACATGCTTTATATAAACTAAATATAATGAAACTATTGCGTGTATACAGATTATCTTCTTGGTATATAATTCGTGAATTAAACAATAGATCTAAACTAATTAAAACTATTATGGATTTATTTTTTACAAATCGCTGAAACATTTTAATAATAAATAAATCAATAGTTTTACTAATTTTTTGTATTTTCATTTATTATAGTAATAAAATTACATTTTTTAACAATAATTATATACTTTAATAATTAAAATACTGATCAACGTGTAAAATATTCAAAAAGTAGTCATTTTATATATTCACGAGTTACAAAAATAGTAAAAATTTTTGTTTACTATACATATGAATTGGCAAGATGAAATAATAAGTAGTCAGTCACATATTAAATATGATGTGTGTGTGTGTATATATATATATATATATTTGATATATATAATATATATATATTTGAAAAAATGATTTTTTTGCCATAAAAATTTGTGTCATTAATGAGCAATCATAAATTTTTTTCAAAAGTACTATCATGTATGAAAATGTATATATGTATTTAACGATTACGCGAATTTATATTATTCAATAAATTCTATTAAAAATCTTAAATTATGTAGCTTACATTACACAATACACAAAGTCAATTTTTTTTTTGTAAAAAATATATAATGAAAACAAATTATAGAATAAGGTATCATATTTAAGTTAAAATACATATATATTATATATTTACTATATGTATTAATAATATATGATATCTAAATTGCACAATTTGTTTTCAATTTTTTTAAAAAAATATATGATTATTTTAAGTAATACGAACACATTTACATTTGTTATATTGTTTTTAACTATAAAAATGTAAAAAAACAGTATCAAAACATTACCATTGCGGTAATGTCAGAGTCAGTAATCATATTTGATTTCATTATTTATAATTAAGTATTTTTTTTTAATGAATTAATAATATTAATTCTTAAAGTATTAATTAAAAATAATACTAACAGACTATAAGTCTATATCACTATAAAGTGTTTCAAAATCACTCACTTGTCTACTTATACCATCCATTTCTGAAACACTCATATTTAAAGTATAATTTTAATATTTAAAAAAATTCTTTAAAATTTTTAGAAAATTAAAATTTACTTTTTATATTATATTTTACATCAATTTTATCAAATTGAATTTTTTCTGTTTTTGAGAAATGATATGAAAAATTTCTTGACAATTGCTTATTCTAATCAACAAAAATTTGCTTCCATGTTACAATGAACGGTAACTGGTGCTAAAACATGATGAGGAGACCCTAAATGGGTTATTGGAGAAGGAAGACAAATAGATTGTCTTCTTAAATCAGGTTCAGTGTTACTACCAACTACTAGTAATGGTTCAGCAAATGTTTGTTGTTCAGAATCATCATGAGGTGTCATAGTACTATATCCATGATCACTATCACCCCCAGGTGGTTTCCTATAATTTGAAGAAACCCTATATGGTGATATAGGTTCTATGCCATCTCTTATAAGAGAATCTAAATTGTTTTTTGTTTGTTCCAATTCCATAGGTTCTGCATCACCTTCTAAGTGAGTCATACGTAACATATCAGGTGAAGTATGTATATGTAAACACTGATGTTCTAAACCAGACTGAACAGATCGAAGTCTATAACAAAATAGCATTAACCCTAATATTAAAAGAAATGCTAATATTCCACCAGCTACAGGTCCAACTGATGGCCATTCACGTATTGTAATTTCTTCTGTTGATTGAGAATCTAAAAAGAATTACATTAAAAAAAAAGAATAATAAAAAATATGTTGTATTTTATTACAATCACTTACTATAAGTACCATCACTAAGTGGCATAAAAGATCCAAGAATGCCTCTAAAACATACAGACATATCGCTACAAAACGGTACTTGCAATGGCGTTTCTCCATCATTGTCTATGTGACACCATTGGCAACCTACAACTCCTAAACAATCATTTTCCATTTTGAATATCTTACAATCAATTGATGGGCACGTTTTTAAATTTGTAGATTGTATCCAAGACATCTGTGAATTTCCTCCTTGTTCATATGGTGCTGGACAAGGTTCGAGATTTATTTCATTTATAGTATATTCTGCGCAATTAGAATAATATAGAGCACATTCACAAGGACATTCACATTCAGTTTGTTCCATTCTTTTACAATTTAAACACGAACGATCCATTGTACTACATGGACAAAAAGCTCTTAATAAATTACAAGTCACATTAACTATTCCTAAAAATACATTAGTTCCTGGTATAGCTGATACTTGATATTTGACACAATGTTCACCATGAACTATATTTGTAAGAACTTCATCAAGTGACGTATTAAACTGATAATATCTTTGTACAGTACCATCTAAATAATTTATGCAAGCTTTTTTCTTCACAAATAGCTCATGATTTAATATATCATTTGCAACCAACAATTCCTTATGAGTTAAATGTTGTTGTTCGATTTTACCGGTCGGTTCTAATAATGCTGGATGTGATACTAAATATCCTTTATCATCCATTAGAAAACATTTTACCGTCAAATTATTACAAAATGGAAACATTTCTTTCAAAAATCTTGAAATAAAACCTAAAGTTACATCCATAGATACAACTGCAATTGCATCATCTTTAATAATTGATTCCGAATTACGATGAATCGTGTGACTTAAAGTAACAATATATCCAGAACCACCAGCACCCAAGTAAGGAGATGTAAAAACTAACTTTCCAGGATGCTCTAATGCTTTTCCATACCATATTCTTCTTTTAGGATCAAAACCAGAATCAAGCATAATTCCTGGATATATCTCTAATACTCCACTCACAACTCCCATGATATATCTATAATAAAGCAAAATAAATATCTAATTAATAAATTTTTTAAAATTCTATTTTTTAAAATAATAATCTTAAAAAATATATAAATATACCTTCTTATGATAAATTTATTTAAAGCACTTTCTATATGTCTAATTTTAAAATAAGCCAACATTTGAGTCAACATAGCTACATCTGGTCTAACAGATTGATGTAGACCAGGATTAGCTAATAAGCCTGTTAAATCTTTCAAATATGCCATATAACTTTGCATTGTTACAGCAGTTCCAGTTTCTAATAATTTAAGTTGTTCTGTTGGAGATTGAAAGCACCATGGAGAAAGATAGACTACTCCCATTGCTAAAACATAAATGCATTTTTTATTCATATTTGTTTTTTTTTTAACTTTTAAATTTTCAAAATTTAATAACTTACATAAAGATAAAAGTTTATTATGATAAGTACAAAGAATCTCTTTATCGGCAAAGCTATGCATTAAAAGATCGAGACGATGATGTAAAATATTCATTGACAATGTTGGTACTAATTTTGCAATAGGTAATGTGCTTTCATTAGTTGCTGATATTAAGCATACTATTAAATCCGTATATGTTAAATGTTTCCACCGATACCATTTCTAAAATTTAAAAACTGAATCATATATGAATTTTATATATACTTATAAATAGTAATATACCTGTTTGCCTAATTGTGTTTTAACGTTTATAACACCTTCGTATTCTTCGATCATTATTTTTACAGTTTCATAACTAATATTTTCTATATGATGTAAATGAACTCTAAGCGGTTGATCTATTATTGTTTCCATTCTTGGGAAATCTTTATTAATCCAAACTATACCTTTGTTATCAAATAGTACAGCATATACATGTGCACCAGCATTAAAATATGTTATATCATCAAGAAAATTTCGTAATTTAATATCTAAAGATATTAATGCTTTGTTTGTAATATGTCCAATAGATAAAGTCATAGTTTTACTGTATAAATCAAAATATGGATCAGATAAATAATAATCTTTTTTATGATCCTCAGAACATTTCAAGTCAGAAAATAATTTTGATACTTCAAAGCCCAATATATTTTGTGTAGGAAGAATTACAATATCATTGTAATTTTTAATATTTGAATGTGATTCTTGATCTAAGAAAAATACATATTAACATACATTATAAATGAAAAATATATTACTATATAATTCAACTTACCTGAAAGAATTAATATTGTTTTTATGTAGCCATTTACTTTTTCTGTAGAAATCATGTTTTTATTTTTCGTAAATGAGATGTAAGTTTAAGTGTATTAGTTAAATGTATAAAAACTATTTCTCCTTTTACATGTTGTAGTAATTTATTAAAATCAAATTCTATTGTATCATTTGTTTCTAAAATTTGAACAAAATTTAAGTAATGATAATAAAGAATTATAATATATATAATGTATAAAATAATAAATACCTATTCTATTTAAACTGTGAATATAACGTGATAGTTGAAATTTATTAACATCTGTAGCTTTCAATAAACCATCTTTGCAATGAATAGAACTATTATTAGAAAGACCAATAACATTAACATGATCTGTATAAGACAACATATCAATTATTGTCTCTGCAGTTATTTGAGCTAGAGTAATATCTCCTTCAGACATAAACATAGCATGTTCAATCAACAGTAATACATTCTTTTTTGGACAATACTGAGATAATAAAAGAGGTCCAATATTATGTCCTGCACTAGGTGGACCACACATAGTAACTGGATACTTAAAAGGCAAGAGATGTAGATTTTTCCATTCTTGATTTCTCAAATGGATTGCCAATTCTAAAATAAATTAAATTATATTAAATTGAAATTTATAAATTCTAAATAAATTTGCTTAGATACCTTGTGCAATTTGTGAACAAAAATCAGCCAATCCATTTGATACTAAATCTAATCCATTTGTAGATTCAGAATATTCAAATAGATTTTCATTTTTTGCTAAGATCGGTTGTATAATGTTATAGCTCTGTTTTAAAACTTTTGCATAAGATAATAGTTTGTTATTTAATTTATCCACAAATAAATTCAATTTCATGTTCAAACTACTTGAGACATTCATAAACTCTATTTCACCAAGCATCTTCTGGAACGGCTTCAAACCAAGTTCTGCTTCAGTAATTGACCGAAATTCATTCGACAATCGAATCACGATGTCTCGCAAACAAGTCCCATTAAGTGGTTCTGCATTTACCTGCTTTCGCAGGGTTTTACCAAATTGACATTTTGCATTTGTGTTTGTACCCTCATCAGCTGAACTATGCACATTTATGATGATGGTTACTGCAAATCCTAATAATAATATCCTCTTGACAATCATTATGTCAAGCTAACTCTATCACATACAAAATTTGGATGCACTGTATATCGTTAACATTGATGGCTTAAAATCTATTTAAAATTATGGATCGGTATTAATGGTTATAGCACTCGATCAACAATAATTAATTCAAGCAAATAAGTGAATAATCATTCTGTTTTCCATTGTACACCTGTTTGTATGTAACCTGAAAAATTCTTTATACCGCCATAACAACGAGGCTACCGCAAACAAGGTTGACAAGTACACAACTGGAAATATTACTTTCTTAGTCCTATCACTTTCTAAATGAAATTTAATCGATGTATCTTTAATATTACAAATATATATTGCGGTTTTAAAAGCCACTGATTAATTCTTTCGGTATCATTTTTCGATTTTTTGTTTTAAATTTCGTAAAAGTAAATATGTATAGTTTTCAGAAAAATATGTTGTTATATAAATTTGAATTAAAAAAAAATATAATTATCAACATGTAATACAATTTTTGATAAATAAATCAAATATAGAAATATTAAATTGTTAAATTTAAATGTATTTAATGATAATTTATACATTCATTAATAATTAATGATCAAATATAATAGTATGAAAATTTTATTTAAGAAAATTTAATTATAATTTTATAGAGAGAATGATGCTATATTAAATTTTAAGAAATTAAAAAATATTTTTAAATATATTATTATTTAGAATTTCAATAATTTGAATATTAAATATAATATTATAATATAATAAAATTGTATTTTTTTATAGGATTTTCATTGATGGACCAATAGTATTGAAAAATTAAATGTTCCTGCTTTTACACTGATCTATACTGCTTGACACAAACGAGAATCATAAACGGATTTCAGTTAATATGTTTTACAAGTTTTTATATATGTGGAGGCATTTTATTACAATATTATTATATTATGTCATAAAAATATAATAGTGAAAACATCGAAAATAAGACTTAACATTGTTTATCTAATGGACAAATTAGAGAAAATTACGAATTACGAATTTTTTATTATGATAGTGTTATAAGGTAAAAATAATAAATTTTATTATATATTGTTTGTATATTTTACTATGATTTTATAATTATGATTTATTATGGTATTTATGAATAAAATTATTTTTGTAATAAAAAGTTTTTTTTTTCATATTATGTGCGCTTGTAAAGAAATAGATTTTTAGATAAAAAAAATATATATAAATTTATTCTATTTATAATATGAATACAAAATTAAATAATTTAATTAAAGTTTATTTGCGATAATGTATCAAGATTAAAATTATTCTGGTCATTATCATTTTTTCTAATATCTTAATATTATTTTTAATATTTTAAAAATATATTTAAAATTTAAGAGTTAAATAAAGATTTTCTTTATTTATACATTTATTATTATATATGTTTTGTAAAAAAAAATCAAAAAATAAAAAAGTTTGCAAATTTATTATAAAAATTTATTTTTTATTCATAAATAGATATTTAAACATTAGGAAAAACATATTAAATATATATATCTTAAGATAAATATATAAATATATTAAAGATAATTAAAGATAAATATATAAATATATTTTTTTAAATTGATATTTTTTTCCTTAATATCTATATCTATTCATTAATATTTTATTTATTACTTCCATCAAACTATATATAATATTGATAACTCAAAAGTAAAATTGATAAGAAATAAAGTATTTTGTGCTATTTTGTACACATATGTAGTTAAATATATATAATCTTTTGATTTGGTATTTCTTGAACAGGTTATAGAAAAAATGAGATTTAAATAAATTTTTTTCTTTCATAATGAGGAATAAATATTTTGGACATGGATATAATTAATATAGAAGATGTGGAAACTGGTGTTCGTTCATCTAAAAATTCTACTTCAATACAATGCAATTGTATCCATTCAAATTCAATATGCTATATTGCTGTAACAATTGCTACTCTGGCTCTTTTGGGTGCAATCGTTTTTATCTGCAGAGATTATATTAAAGTGTTACTTTATTGGATTGAACATCAGAATATATGGATCGTTACTGTAATATTCATTGCATTGTTCACAGTGGTCTCATTCCCTATTGTAATTGGTTATTTATTTCTTATTATTGCCAGTGGTTATCTGTTTGGCATATTAAGAGGTATTGTCATGGTAGTATTATCTGCCAACTTGGGAATAGCTATAGCACATGTAACTCTTAGTTTGTTATCATCCAAATTACCTATTGGAACTCTTATGCAAAATGATACTGCAAGAGCAATTCTCAGAGTTATATCTGGATCACAAGCTTTCAAAGTTGTGTTACTTGCAAGATTAACTCCTATTCCTTTTGGTCTGCAAAATACAATTTTTGCGGTATGTTTTTTTATAATTAATATTTAACAATATTAATAAAAAATTATATTAATAATAATATATAAATATTTAGATAAGTAATATGGGTGGCATTCAATATCATATAGCTAGTGCATTAGGATTATTACCTGCTCAGATCATCAATATTTATTTGGGCAGTAGTTTAAGATCTATGCAAGATGTTCTTGAAGATAAATCAACAGCAGCAACTAGTTATATTGTCTTCTGTTTCCAAGTATATAAAGAATTAAGATTTAATTTTTCATAATATTTAAAAATACAAATAATTTTTTCATTTCAATTTCAGATTCTAATAGGTATTTCATTGATGGTATATGTTGTACAAAAAGCACGTAGAGAACTTCAGCTAGCATTATTAGAGGCTGATCTTGCCTCAATGGCTGATACTTCTCATTATCTTCTTGATACATTACCAGATTCTAAAATTGTTTTAACAAATCTAATTGCCTAAAAATGGAAATTTTTTTTTGAAAATGAAAAAACTTTTTCATTGCATGTTTCATATTTAATAATTTTATTTACTTAAAGAAAAATAGAAAATTTAATAATTTCAAGAAGTTTAATATATTACAGCAGATATAATTATACACTCATTTATAACAGAAATAGCTTATCTTTTCCATATAATATTCTTATTGAAAGTACTGAATATTTTGTGATACAAATAACAATTAATAATTGTTTTATTGAAAATAGTTTAATGAAAATTAGACAATTTGAAAAAAAATAGAGCATCATGTTCATATTACATTTATTATTTGTGCCAAATCTCTTTTTTACATATTAATTATTTTACATTTAAAAATCTTCATGTATTGTTATCTTTATAAAAAATTGAGTGCATTTATATTTGTTGATATGTATTAATTAATGTACGAATTGTTGGCAGCTTTGCATTTATTTTTGCTAATACATCTTTATATTATAATAAGTCTTCCAAAATATTATTATTAATTTGAACTTTATATGGAAGAATTTATTGTTTGATTAACTGGGAGAAAAATTAAAAGTTAATCAAATATACAAAACATGAAGATTCTGGAATATTAAACAATAACTTATTTTATTAATAAAAATAAAATTCTTTTGTATATAAATTTGAATTCTCTTTTATAATGAGTACATTATATAATTAGATTATATAATTGCATTGTATAAAAAAATGTGCAAAGAAAGAATGTATAAAGCAAAAAATATAGCTATACTGTACAATGTATTGAAGAAAAAGTTTAAAATATTTTTACAAGATATGCATGATTTTCATGATATTTTCTGTGAATGAATATGTATTTTTGTAACTGTGTTAAAGTAAATTAAATATAGAAAGATCATATAAAAATTATTTAAAAAAAATCCAGATATATATGATTTTAACTATTTGACTTCTATATAATATCTTAAATATAATATCTTAAATATAATGTACAGAATACAAAATATTAATTAATATAAAAAGATTACATAATTGCATTTTTATAGAAAAAACAGAACATTCATATAATATTTATATATTACATAACAAATTATTAAATAAACTTGATATGCATTTGTTATTGGGAAGACTGAAAATATAATAATTGTGGCTGCAAATTTATATTATTTTGTCATTATTCAAAACTTTTGTCATTTTTCTATTGTGTATGTTATTATATTAATTTAAATTTAATTTTTTTTAAATTTGATTGATCTGTATAATATCATATCTATCATAGCTATATGTATTATATAGCCTTATTTCATTACATTATCAATATAATTAGTAACTTTTATTGTTTATTTTGAATGACTATGTATATAAAATACTGTACCAATTTGCATGATAAATTAAGATGTACCACGTAAAAAAAAGAACTGCATTGTACAAATGTAATATACCAAATTATACCAAATAAAAGAAATTATATTCACATATTATTTTATAATTTTGTTTTTAATTATATTTTTTTTATATTTTTCTAATGCTCTTTTAATAACTGCAAATGTAAAATCTGCATCTTCTTTTGTTATGCATAAAGGTGGTTTTATTCGTAATACCTATATATATATCGAATATCATTAATATTCAGATATATAATAAATCTTAAAAATCTAAAAATATATTTAACTTATTATATAATTATTATTTAACTTACATTTGCATGTAACCCTCCTTTTCCAACGAGAATTCCCATATTTTTAATATTCTCGAAAATCTCAAGTACGCGTTCAGATTCTAAAGGTTTTTTCGTCTCGGAGTTTGAAATTAATTCAATTCCGATCATTAATCCTTTTCCTCTAACATCACCAATGATATTGGGAAATTCTAATAAAAAAGTACTCAAACGATTGATCAAATACGTGCCGACTATATGTGCATTTTGTTGAAGACCTTCTTCTTCTATGATCTAAATTATCATTTTAATTTATTATATTATTATTTAATATTGTATTGTTATACTTAACAATATTATAAGATAATTTTAGAAACATATAAATGAATATAATTACATCTAACACTGTTGATCCTACAACACACGCAAGTGGATTTCCTCCGAATGTATTAAAATGTAATGCAGAATTTAAACTATTGGCAATTTCATTATTTGTAACTACTGCTCCGAGAGGAAATCCATTTCCTATTCCTTTTGCTAGAGTCACTATATCCGGTTCTACACCGTGACTTTCAAAACCCCAAAAATGTTCTCCTGTTCTACCAAAACCAGTCTGAACTTCATCCGCTATACAAAGACCACCTTTTTCATGAATATAATTATATATTTTTTGAAGAAAATATTTGGGATATTGAACTGCTCCTCCTATTCCCTAAAAATTGCGTAACTTTTGTATTTTTAATTGATCGTAAACAAAACCAGGAACGAAAAAAATACCTGAATACTTTCAGCTATAAATGCAGCTATATTATGCGAACATGGCAAGCTAAAACGAAATGATTCATCAAATTTTTGAAAATATTTTTCAGAAGCTATACATTCTTTATCTTTACAATCACATTTTCTTCCTATCACTTGTATAAGCGAATCTCTACATTTCGATCCACCCCAATTACCTCTATATATATCTGGATATACTATCTGAAATGATTCCATACAATTATTTACTTCCATTTTGAATTATTAGCAAAATCTGATCAATATTAATTATTATTGATATTAATTACGTGTATATAACCAGGTGGTTGTATAACAAATGGATACTTCCATGTACTTATCGCTGTAGATGCTGATGTTCCATAAGTTGTACCATGATAGCTGTTTCTTAATGAAATAATATTATGATTACGTGTGTAAAGTCTAGCCATTAGAAACGCTAATTCATTTGCTTCTGAACCACTATTTGTTAGATATACAACTTTTAATTTACTCGAAAATTTACTTATTAACTTGTTTACATATTCGTATAAAAAAGGATGCATATAAACGGAAGATATATGGTTTAATTTCGATGCTTGTTTAGATATAGCAGCTATTATTTTTCTGAAAAAAAAATATATTATTTTTTATATTTCTCAATTTTCATCACATTTTTATCAATATATATCTTATGTAGTCTTACGGATGAGAATGACCAACAGAAATAGTAGCAACTCCGCCAAACATATCCAAATATCGTTTTCCACGATGATCCCATAACCATTGCCCTCGACCTTCATATATTAATAATGGTTCTTTGTAAAATTGCTTTAAAGAAGGAGATACAATTAATTCGTATGCTTTTTTAATAAATTCATAATTTGTACCCTATATTATAAATAAATGAAATGTAATTTTTTATATATTATGTATTAATATATTTATAATATAAAAAAAATAATTTTCATATGTAAATAAAACATTTTACCTTATAGATAGAAGGTGTATAATCACAATCGGGCATTCTTAAAAAATCATTTGATGTACTTACAGAATTTCTTTTTTGTATAGGAAACCCTAAGATATTGTATTTTATTTTAAATATATTTTAACTATAAAAAAACTAATTGAATAATTAATTAAAATTTAATACATAAAGAAATACTTACATTTTAAATTCATAAAATATATTAAATTAGATCGAATTGCGGTGATTCGTAAACATTTATTCAACATATTTCTCCAAATTTTTAATAATTTTTAATATAAAATATAAATTCTATTGCTGATTTATATCTTATGTTAAAAATTATTGGTAATTTACTTTTTACTTTTATGAACTTTATATTGATTTATGTTTGACGATCGAATATATACTACAAATGTTATTCGATTATGTATGCATAAATAAATCTAAAAATTAACGAACTTATTTTTATATAAATATTCGTGTATTAAATATACATATAAATTCGATTCTATATATATATAAATGAGGTCAAAAAATTTATTTTAAAGTATTGATACGAAAATATTTTATTATAAATATTCATATTGAATATTAATGTTGATGTTATTTTTAATCAAAATTGAATCCACATTATTTTAATTCATATACAAAAACTTTTCTTTAAAAAAAATCATATTAAAAATAAATATTATTTTTATTGCTATACAAATAAATTTATTTACAGTCAGAATTTATTTACATAACTATTTTTCTATTACATTTTTATCTTTAGATATTTCTTTTTTATTAGATATTTTATTATTTTCAATATATAATTGTTGATTTGAAAATGATTTTATTTTAAATGTTATTGGTATTTTTTCTAAAATGGGATTTATTTTTTGTAGACATCTTATCCATGATAATAGGGAATCTTTGGAAGATGTACCTGTAGCACAAATTGCATAATATACCCCATCTTCTTGTTCATGTATAGTAACAGGTATTTTAAAGTGATATTTTTCCCAAAATGGAATTTGCAAATGAGATACATCTAAAAATAATATATATATATATATATATATATATATATATTTTTCATTACTTAATATATAACTATATTATTGTTAATATTATATATTATAATATATTATAATATTACTATTAGATAATATTATATGTTATTATAGCATAATATAATAATGTACTATTTAACATAAAACTGTAAAATTTTTTTCTTTTACCATCATAGTCTTCATAAATGACTTCTCTTTCTATTGGATCTCCTTTTAATACAAAATAATCAATACAATATTTATCGACCCATATCATAAAAGGACCTTCCACAGTCAATGATTTATTAGTTGGTTGTACTGCAAGAAGTTCTTGTTGTGATCTACTCATAGAAGATACAATCCATGTATCATCAATTGCATCAGGTACATCTTTTGTTTTATATATAATAGTATTAGCTTGTACATCTACACAAGACATTTTTGCTATTGCAAATTCAGCAAGTTCTTTTGGATCTATTGGTAACGGTTTGGGTATTGGCCAAGGATTTAATTGAGAGAACTTTGGAAGCCAATAAAATATGCTCCAACACTTTTTTATAACTAAACCCTTATTACCAAAAGTATTTATAATCATTTGTTGCATCTCATAATCAGGTATCACAAAATTTTTTTCCATCTTGTTAAGTAAATGTAGAGCTATATCTTGATGTTTTGGATAATGGTAAAACATATTTTGATATTTATTTTCTGGTATATATTTTCCTTTTGGAAATATATTAAACAATGCCTTATATGTTTCTAAATCTTTATTTACACCAAATTCATCCATATATTTTAAAGCAGTTAAAATAAATTGCAATTGTCCTTTTCTAGTACAATCTTCTTTTTCATATATACGTATAATTTCCAAGAAAGTTTCTTTCTCTTTTCTTTTCACATTAAAACGATAAGGTATAATTTCACTGTCAGATTCATTTTTATTATATAAAATATGTTTCATATGAAGATTATTAACAATAGCTGATCGTATATTTTTATGTTTTTTAATTATTAAAAATTTATTTGATGAAGTAATATTTCTTATTAATGTATTCATATTATTAATTTGTTTAAATTTTGTAATATTTACTAAAATTAATTTATAAATATATAAAAATATATAATAATTATCACTGTTTTTCTTGTATAACCTTTTTAGTATAATTAATAAATTCGATAATATATATACGTATAAGTAACATTGTAAATAAATTAATATTTATATAAATTTCAATATCAATTTATTAATTAATATCCAATATCAATAAAATTTGATTGTAAGAATATTTTTTAACATAAAAAAACTTAACATTTAAGACTATGTATTTCATGTTCTGAAATACCGATTGCGTAAAAAATCAGAATAGTATTTTCTACGATTTAAAATGATAAATGAATAATTATATTCAATTTAATCAAAAATTGATAAAATTTATAGATTTTAAAAATAATTTCTTTAATAAATTCTCTTATAAATATTGTTATATATTATATATATATTGGATATTTATAAGTATTAATAGAACCATGTCTTGAGCGCATAAATTTTGCAGAATACAAATGAACAGTATGAATGATGAAAAAATAAAAATAGGATAAAATAGCACTTCTTTATACAATCAATCATCAAAAAGGAAGTTTTTTAATATTAAATAGTCAAACTAATAATTTTTTAATTTAGTGTATTTAAGCAACTTCTAACAATTTTTTAGATATAATGTATATAATTAAATAATAAATTTAAGACAAAAAAATTCTTTTATTGATAAATCTTTATTAATTAGTTACCATGTATCTTATATTTAAACTATGTTTTAAAATATAGAAAAAAAATATATTCTCTTCCATACAAGTAACACGCTTTATTTATTATCACTTTTATGTCGCTCTCCCAACAATCATGATAAAATATTGAAATTATTTTCTGAGTGTTATAAATGAAATACATAAAGAAAAAAATAGAAAACAATAAAAGAAAAAATAAGAATTAATAATTAATATCATTTCTCGAAGATTAAAGATATTTCTTTAAAAACACGTAGAATAAAATTGAAGATCAATTTTGAATATTTTTAGTAGGATGATTCTTTAACATTCAAAAGATGGCATTGATCAAGTTTTACCCTATTTCTATCTTTTTCCTATTATTTTCTGTCCTTTTCTTATATATTTCAGTTATGATAGAGATGGCGCTGATTTCCAGATTTTTAATAAATTTCTGTCCTTTTTCTACCATTTATTTTTCTTGTCTATACTTGTTCTGCATATAATTACAAACGAGGTACGGAATTAATTGAATTAATTGACTCTTTAATTGCTTTTTTTTAAAAATTAGAATGTGTCTTAACCTTTAATATAAAAAATATAAATATTATATTCTCAATTTTACAAAATAGATTCTTTAGATCTATTTCATAAATTATATCTTATAATATTTATGCAAATATTTTAGCAGGATTTATATATATTTTTATATGTTTATTTCAGCAATAAGAGAAATCTTGAAATACTATAAAAAAATGACACTCTAAAATAAAGACACTAAAATGATAAAAAATTTTAGTGTCTTTGAAATAAAAAAAAATATGCATTGAATGTAGGTCTATTCTCAATCTTATATATTTTGAATAAATGCAGATGAATAAACAATATCTATTACAATAAACTTAAATAATATTATAATAAATTAATATTTTATTATAATACTATTAGTATTAAAACATTTTTGTAGAAAATTAATGAATGTTTTTTTCAGAATCGTTGTTATAAATATATATATATATATATATTATAATATAATATAAATATTGTATTTAATTTAATAGAGAACGAATATTATAAATTTAAATTATCATATCACATGTCATATATTATTTATTATTAAGAAACGAAAAATATTATTAAGAAAATTATCATATAAATATTAAAACATCGTTAATGAATAATAAAATTATTTTTCTAATTTTATTTAACAAATATAATGTGTAAGTAATTTATTTTTACAATAAATTAATTTATGAATAGTAGAATAGTAATTTTAATAATGTTACTAAATTTTACATTATAGATCACTATTAAAGATAATAAAATTCGATTTGTGCATATAATATTTAATTTAATTATTTGTATATTTAATAAATAATAAAAAATAAAAATTTAACATAATATAAAATTGAATTATGAAAGAAAGAAATATTTATTTTTTATAATAAATATTATATTATTCTCAATAATTATCAATAAATATTATATTATTTATATTCATTGCACATGATTAAATATTATTAAAAAATGAATCCTATGCTAAAAATATTTTTAACCCATTGTTGGGCAAATATATATTTAATAATTGGAATTAGCATAGGCTTAAGTCTTAGTATAATGTTGATACCAGCTAATATAGATAATTATGATGGAAATACAGAGTATTTAATACATTATTTAAATTATCAAGAAGATTTAGATGAATATGAACCAAAAATAAATATTAATAATAAACCTCAACAAGCACAAAAAGTATCTAAAACATTAGTACGTCCAAGATATTATTCCACTGAACTTGGAATTAGAGAGAAATTATTTATAGGAGTCATAACAAGTCAACAATATTTATATAGTAGAGACACAGCAATTAATAAAACAGTTGCTCATATTGTGGATAAAATACGATACTTTATTTCTATACCTGAAGGTACAAAACCTAATGTTACTCTTCCTGGTATAGTAGGATTTACAGATACTAGAACAATTTTAAAGCCATTTCATACAATGAAATATATAATTGATAATTATTTGGAGAATTATGATTACTATTTTTTAATCAAAGATATAAGCTACATCAATGTTAAAAAATTAGTAGAATTTGTTAATAAGATTAGTGTAAGTCAAAATGTTCATGTGGGTGTTCTTGGAGATATTTCAACTTATTGTTCTTTGGGTAAATTAATTTATACATTACCTTACAACATTGCTTTATTTAATATTTCATTAATAATAAATTGTTACAATTTTCAGATTCAGGAATTCTTTTGAGTAATTCAGTAATACAAGAATTAAAAAATAATTTAGATTGGTGTGTGAAAAATGCTTATTCTGATTCAGATGACATTAATTTTGGACGATGTATTGTTCATTCTATCTCAATACCTTGTTCTAATCATATACAAGGACAAAAATTTTTGTATACCAAGTTGAAACCAACATTCTTATTTGAACAAAATTTGAAAGAATTAGTTAGAAATGAAGAATTTCTAAATTCACTTGTAATATATCCAATATATGATCATCTATTTGTTTATAAATTGAATACATATTTTGCAACAGTAAGTTTTTTATACATATTAAAAATTAATTATTTTATATATATAAATAATATTATTATATTGACTATTGTATGTATAATTATTATATATATATATATATATATATATATATATATATATATATTATATATATAT